GGAAGGGACAAGGAGCCACAGCACGAGGTGCTGGGAGAGAGAAATCACTCCTCATCCCCCCCTAAAATGGTGAAAATAAGAGATCAAGGTGTTGATCAAAATCTCTAAGAGATGAGAATCAAAAAATATCATCAAAAGGCCAGCACGGGCTCCACAGGCTGCAGGGCTGTTGCATCCTCCTGGGGCTTAACCCATCGGTTTTATTTCCCCCAAAAAGGGGAAAACGGCCCCAAATCCCTTCACCCGAGTGGAGGAGGGGACAGAGATCTGGCAGAAAAGTCCAACAGTCGGTTTTGCCCAGTTTGGGAAGAACAAACCACCCAGAAGTGAGGTGAGCCCCCCCACAGCGCTTGTGTGCCATCCTCTCCCTGAAGCCCTCCCTGGGGTGCTGGAGGGTGACTGGGCACACTGGGAGCACTGGGAAGAAATAATAAAACGATGAGGAAGGAGAAGATTGGCCGCAGTCCCGACAACGAAACACGGTGCATGCATGAGGCTATTTCGTGCCCACAGGGCAGAGCCAGGGTGGATCGAAAAACAGCCAATGGGAAGCGTCAGAGAGCCACCGGCAGCCAATGGGAAGCAACGTTTCCTGATGCCAAGTAAAGCATACTGAGAAGCTGCTGGAGAGCAGCCAAAAGGGACGGAAATTGTGACAATTGCGGAGGTATTTCCCTTGTTTATGACTAAACACACCCTACTGGCAGATCTCCCATTCATTGAGAGCTGCCCTGCGACGGTGAGTACTCCAGAGCAGCTCCTGGGCTGTACAAGTCAAAACCACGCCTCTGTTATTTGACTCTCTTCCCTGTCTGTGGCTCAACAGACTCAAATCTGAGAAATCAGCCACCCGTTGAGAGCTGCCCTGCGAGGTGAGTACTCCAGAGCAGCCCCTGGGCTGCCAAACTCGGGGTGGTGGGTGCTCCCTGCCCACAGTGAGCCACGGCTGGCACAGGGCTGAGACCCCACATCATGTTCTTTTCTCTGGGGGGGGCTGCAATGACCACCCGATTAATTAAACGTGGCACGTTGAAGGACAGGGAGGAGTAAACGCCAAAAATCACAGTTTTAC